AGGATGGAGGGGGGAAGGGAGGTGGGGCAGGGTCCCGAAAGAGAGAAGGAGACAAAGAAAAAAAAAAATCCGGGAGAGCACAAAAGATTGAGAATCGTGGGGAAATAGAGACAATGAAAACATAAGACAGAGAGAAAGGGTGTGGAGGAGAGAGCTTAAGACAGAGAACGAGAAGGCAGAGGGGAGAACAGAGAGAAGGAGGGAGGAGAAGAGAGGTAGGATGAGGAAGAGGAGAGACAGCGTGCGGAACGGACGGACGGACGGACGGAGTGGGGGCGGTGGGAGGACGCGGAGGGAGAGGGGGAAGGGCAGAGCCCAGGGCCGGCAGCGTGGGGGAGGAAGGGGAGGGCGGAGGGGGAGGGGCGCCACCAGCTCGGCTGCAGCTGGGGCCCTGGGGCTGCTTCCCCCGCGGGCGGGCAGCCTGGCCCCCAGCCCAAGGCCAGCGTCCCCCCTGCCCCGCCTCTTTCCTCTCTTCTCCTTCCTTTTCCCCTTCCTCCATCGCCCCCACCCAGCTCCAGCTGCGACCAGCCCTTCCCTGTGTCCCCCTGGAGTGCAGGGTCGTCCTGGAGGGCGGGGCCGGGCACTGTGAGGACTTGGGGACAATCTTCTCCCTGGGGGTCCCCGCTCAGTCCCATCCTGGTGATGGGGTGGGGAGTGAGGCGGAGACCCAGAGCGAGAGGCAGGGCAGACACAGGGAGGGTGGGACATACAGAGACAGGGACGGCAGCACAGAGACCCGGAGATGGACGGGGACAGGGAGAGACACAGAGGCGTGGACGCAGAAGAGAGGGGGGACAGACACGTCACAGTCACCCAGGGAGACGCGCGGCAGAGCCAGTTACCGGGACACAGGCAGGACAGAGGGGGACATCGGGAGACAGACAGACAGTTACGCGGGGAGAGAGAGACAGACCCGGGCAGCCGTGGGAGGGCTCCCTGGGGTGGCCCGGCCCCGGCCCTGCCTCTCCCCCTGGACCCTGGACCACGATGACCTGCCCTCCCGTCCTTGGGCCCCTCAGCCACCCTTGAGGTTACCCGCGGGGACGATGCCGGCCGCCCCGTCCAGACCCCCTGCCCCTACTTACTCGCTGATGCAGTGGGCAGCTGTGAGCACCCACTGGGGGTGCACCAGGACACCCCCACACTGGAAGCTGCTGTAGTGGTACAGGGCCGCCTGCCAGGGCTGGGAATGCTTCTCACAGTCCCAGCCGCCTACGATCCGAGACTGGATGGGGGGTGCAGCGCCTGTGGAGGGGGTGCCGAGTCAGAGCAGGCGGAGGTGGCAGCAGGCCCGGGAGACTGAGCTGGGAGAGGGAGCCGCCGGGCCGCGGACACAGAGGGACACGGGGGCCGAGGACCAGGGCTGCGGCTCTGGGGAGATGGGCGAGGGGTGTTGGGAAGGGCCCAGAAGCCTGGAGACTCTGGGCGTGTGGGTCGGTGGCCGGTGCTGGGGACTGCGAGAGCCCCTCGGATCAGGGCTGGACGACAGGCAGCATCTGGGTCGGGCATCGGTGTGGGGTTAGGTTTCGGGGGGCGATTTGGACTCCTGGACTGGGAGACAGGAGGCTGTGGTTTCTGAGAGGGGAAACCAAGGGTAAAGGGCCCCAGACAGCAGCTGGGGAGGAAGGATTTGGAAGATTAATGGGGGCTTCCAGGCTGATGAAATGGTTGGGCCTGGGTTGGATTTTGGGGGTTCTGGAAAGAATGTGGCTTTGGAGAATCATTCTGAGAGGCCAAGAAGAGCACCTGGGGAATTTGAGGTGGTTTGGGGTTCCTGGTTGGGGCTGGGAGTTGCAAAGACTTGGGGTTCCAGGCCAAAGAGTAAGAGACAGGGCTGGGCTGCAAGCGGGTCCCTATAGGTTTGAGGAGGGAGCTCAGGAGGACGGAGAGCCAGGTGGCAGTCACGCTGCGATCACATGATTCTCTGGGGCTGGGGCCACAGCCTGAGGGTGCTGGGGGAGCTCGGGTCCCTCGGGACCCATGCCAGGACGGGAATGGAGAAGGCGGACCCACGCGATGTGGGGCTTTAGCATCTCATGTTGGGGGAATTTGGGGGAGCTAGGGAGGACAGCTGGGCTGGGAGAGTGTTTGGGATCCTGGGGAGGGGGGTGGTCCCAGAAAAGCAGAGCCGTACAGGAGGGGCGCGGGTGGAGAGGGCCGATGCTCGAGGAAGGATGAAAATGCTACAAAGAAGGGAGCGTGTGGTTGGGGGTTCTGGGCGTTTCTCCTGGGGGAGAAGTCTGGGGGTGCTAGACAGGGTCCTGGGGCAAAGAGTCAGGGAAGGAAGAACCCCAATATCAGGATGGGGGACCCACGTGGTCATGGACCAGAAAGTCTGCCTGGGAAGGAGCAGAGGCGTCTGATGGAATCTGGGGGTCCTGGGAGGATGGAGGGGGGACCAGATGCCAGGGACTGGAGGACCGAGTTGAGAGCTGACAGCTGGATGGGAAAAGTCTCTAAGGTGCGGTGAAATCTGGGGACCCAGGAGCCAGACCACTGGGCCTTAGAGAACTAGGGAGTAGGAGGGGGTGGTCAGAGTCCCCGGGGTCTGGTGAGATCGAGGGTCTCCTTGGGAGAGTTGGAGTCCCCCGGAGAGAGAGCGATGGTCCGGGGTGCCCCTTCGGTGGAGAGACTGGGAGCAGGGATCTGAGTGGGGAAAAGCAGAAAGTTCTGGGGGTTCCCGGGAGGGAGCAGGGACCTGGCGTGGGTGTGAGGATGACTGTGGGGAAGGTGCCGGTGAGGGGGGACGAGCGTCGGATTTGGGGGTGGAGGTGGGAGAGAGAGGAAAGAGCCTGGTATCCTGGTTCGGGGCGGACTATGAATTGCAGGGGTGCAAGTCGGGAGGGAAATGACTTACTATTATACTGGGGGTGGGGGCAGCATGAGAGTCAGGGCCCACTCCCCTCCCACATCTTCCCAGTGTCTTACCAGTCCCCGCCAGGGACAGGGCAAGGCACAGGACCAGGAACCACATGGTGACAACGGTGTCCGGGGGCAGGCAGGTGGTGAGCTAGGAGCTGGACGGCCTCCCTGAGAAGCCTTTAAAAGCCCTCACCCCACCTCAGGGCCCCTCCCCTGCCCTGCTGGCACCCAGATGCTGGCCAAGGCCCTGCCCTGCCTCCGGGGGGCTGGACGCCTCCTCCCACCCCCAGAGCTGTGCGAGGGACGGGAGAGCGAACACCTGTGGGCTGGAAGCCGTCCTAGGGCCCAGGGCCAGCCAGGGCAGGGCCCGGAGCTCCTGGGGCCTTGTTCTTGGGACAGAGCCAGTGAGGGGAGGTGGAAGCGTGAGTGGGAACAGAAGCCGACCCCCTAATACAAAGCCCCATGTACTTGAACCCCATGTGAGGACACACACCCCAAGACCCGGTGTACCCTCAGATACCAACAGTGGGGCTCTGATTCCCTCCTCCCTGAAGAGCTCCGAGCCAGGATGCCGGCTCCTTTCTCAGCTCCCGCTCCCCAGAAATATAAGCTTCGGCTCTCAGGATGCCATCTCTTACACCCCCAGACTCAGGATGTAGGTCCCCAAATCAGTTGGTCCTCTCGTAATAAAATCTTAGGGTACCTATGACAATCTGAGCACCCCAAGATCCAGGAATAGGAATTTCCTGTGATTTTCTCGAATGCGTTCCCTAGCAGTTCAGAATCCAATGTTCCCAAGCAACGTGGGGATTCCGTTATCCCTCCCCCCTCCCCCGCTTCTTGTTCCCCAGATCTGGACGCTCAGAGTCCTAGGAATCCTGGAGTAGCTGCCTTCCAAGGTCAAGAGCATCCTCTCCGCAAATTCCAATCTCCTCTCTTGCAATAGCACATTTAGGTTCATGTGCTCCGACATCCAGCGACCTTGAAAATCCCGCTGGATCTCTGAAGAGAATTAGGAACTAGATTCCTGCAGCCTCCGTGGTAAACCCGTAGGCTTCTCACATGTTCCCTGGCTCTTCAGTAAAGTCAGAGCAGCTCACTGGGTCCTAGCCTCTGCTGTATGTCAGGAATCTGCCTAAGGAGAGGAGAGTATTTGCCTTTTTGCCACGGCTACCAGGAAGCCCGGAACTAAATCTTGAGGAAAATAAAGTCATTCTTGATTATCTAGTGTGTGCTGGGTCTTTTCCCTGCGGCGCAGAGACGTAGAGTATTTTCCCAGAGCCAGGCCCTATTTGAGTCAGTTCGCATGAATGTCCTGTTAACCCTTACAACCTATGAGGTAAGCAATATGATGGTCTCTGTTTCTCAGATGGAGAAACCGAGTCTTTTGCTCACGATCACACAGCCGACCCTACGTGTTGAGTGAACAGAGCCTTGCTTCAAGCCATGTCTCCTCACCTCACCTAGGGATCAGGGCAGTGGGTGAAATGGAATGGTGTATGGTGAATGGATCTGGGGTCTCCACCCAGCCTCTGGTCCCATTTCCCTTCAAACCCAGAAAAAAGCCACAGAAACATTCACAGAGAAACTCTCCGTCATGTTGGTGTTTAACAGGTGACCCTGGGTGCCAGCGCTGGCCTCAGACGGGACACGCCCTTGGCTAATGTCTGGGCGTTGGACGGATGGTGTCTCAGGGGAATGGCTCGATTCTTTCCCAGGTCAGGACAGAGTGGCCACCTGCTCAGTCGGGGGCACAGGTCATAGGCCAGAACAGTCAGTTCCTCCTCATGGTGTCCCTGATCCACTCCAGGTAGCTGCAGACTTTGGTGTAGACACCAGGTTTGGTAGTAGTGTCACATGGGACGTCGCCCCAGGACACAATGCCCTGTAGGACGCCCCCACAGACCAGGGGTCCCCCAGAGTCACCCTGTGGGGGAGAAGGGGAAGTTTGAATGAGAACCTTGTGATCCAGTGACCCCATCTCCGTCCTAATCACTGTTCATAATCTCAATCCAAATCTAAACCCACCCTATGCAAAATCCACCCCAACTCAACTCAATACAACCCGATTTAACCCAAACCAATCCAACGCAACCCCGGCCCAACACAGCTCAATAGAACTCAAACAACCCACGTCCAAACCCACCCCAGCCCAATCTAACCCCTACATCTTCCTCAACCGAAATCAAACCAGACCCACGCCCACCCTCACAACCGACGCGACCCTCCCCCTTAATGTCGTGTCTTTTGCATCCTGAACGAAATCCAGCCCCATGCCCGATTCAACCCTGACACATTTCCCACCTAAAATCAGACCGCACCCATTCTCCTTCTCGACTCCAGCCCATGTGATCCCAGACCAACCACCACATGGCCCACCCCGAGCGCGAACCAACTTTTCCACCCCCCTAACGCCAACCTCGCCCCTGTTCTAACTGCTCTGCCTTCTCCGCCCACATAGCTACCCCTAGCATTTCCTCTGGCCCAAAGCAAGCAAAACCCGACCCCGTTCCAATTCCCAAACCCGTCCTCCTCCCTCTCCTACCCCGGGCTCTGACCTCACAGGAGTCGGTGCCTCCGCCTTCCACACCTGCACACACCATGGTGTCCATCAGGCGCCCTGGGTAGTCCTTCTCACAGGATGCGGTGGAGATAATGCTGATGTTGGCACAATGCAGCGTATCTGGGAGATTCACTGCGGAGGGCAGAGGACTTGGAGTGAACCCATAAACTTTCGAGTCTTTGTTTCCCTCTGCCCCTTTTTTCTGGAGAAAAAAGTCCCTAGAAGTCTGATATCCGGTGCCAGTCTTTCACGCACCTTGTGACTCTGGGCTTCCCGTGGTCCCCGGCTCGTTGTCGGACACCAGGCCCCAGCCGGACACCACGCAGGCCTCCCCGGGGTGGGGGCAACGCGCGGGCAGCGCCACGGGGCGCACTTGCGGGGACAGGCGCGCGGGCCGCTGCAGACGCACCAGCATCACGTCGTGGCGGTGGCTGCGCGCTTCGTAGCGCGGGTGTGGGATGAAGCGGGAAACAGCGCGCAGCTGCTCCGGGCCGTCGCGCTTGCGCAGATTGTGCTCGCCCAGGCGCACTCTCATGTTGCTGTGCGGGCGGGTGGTTACCCGCAAGGGCAGGGAGGAGCACAGAGAGAAATCAAAGAACGGGCAACCTGGGGGCCCTTGACCCTTTGGGGATGTGGGTCTCCCGATACCCATTCCCCAAGGTCCAGCCCCTGCCCCTCAGGAACCCAAGCGTCCACGGCCGTGCAAACACCTGGAACAACACCGGCCGTGCAAACACCTGGAACAACACCGCCAGGCGCCGGCTCTTCCTTCCTCAGAATCCAAGAGTCTTAGGCCCTTAGACCCCTCCCGCCGTGATCCCTCAGGACCCTGAGCCCTGCCTTCGTACCGGGTTTGGCAGTGGGCTGCAGACAGCACCCAGTATGGGGAGATGAGGGAGGCACCGCAGTTAAAGCGTCCGCGCTCGAAGAGGGCCACTTGCCACGGCTGGGAGTGGGGCACACACTCCTCACCTCGCAGCACCTTGCCGTCGTCCTCCTGGGCCGCTGGGAGAGGGGACGGAGGAGGGTCTCTGAGGATGGAGTCCTATTCCTTGCACCCCGCCTTTGCTACATAGTTTTCACCTGTGCCTTCCCCCAAATTTCTTAAGACGTTCTGTTGACTTTTAAGCACTGCCTTCTCTCTAGCTTTTACAACCGCTGCTTGTTTTCTCCAGAGCTGCTCCAGTGCCCTTGGCCCCCGCCCATTTGCCCCTGGGCTCTGGGAGAGAGAGGATGGGGAAAAGACCAGAGGGCAAGAAGTCCTCCGTGACTGGAAGTAGAGACAGGGACAATGGATACGGTCCGGGCAGACAGTCACTTGGAACCAACCATTCAAGGTCACCGAGCTGTCGCAGATATTAAGTGGATATGGTCACTCAATACGCATGACACACCGTCTTGGCTCCAGAGTCTGGACATCTCAGCCAAATGGAGTGTATCATGCAAGGACACAGACGCGACCACACAAGGTCATGGGCAAGTACACGGGCACAGATGGACTTCCAAGCTTAGGAACTGATACAGGCAGCACGTTAGGCTGAAACTCACATTCACGTACACGGGTCACACAGGGGTTCATACGTGTGCAGGAGTATCGACAGCTAAGACCAGTTCAAGGGATTCATGGGGAGAGGCACCGATATGCACTCAGGCTCCCCAAAACTCGTTCACAGACATGGGTCTACAGCATCGTGGTTAAATCTGGGATCGTCGAGTAAAACCCTCAGGGGTCAAACATTTTATCTGTGAGACTTCGAGCCAATTATTTGACCTCTCTGTGCCTCTGTCTCCTCATCTGTAAAATGGGATTGTGAGACTGTGTGCATGCGTGTGCGTGTGTGCGTGTGCATGCGTGCGTGTGCGTGCTTGCGTGTGTGACGCCTGGCACATAGCAATGACTTAATCAATGTTAATGGTTTTAAACAAAGGACACACAGATTTATTTATGCATACATATGTGTAGATGTTTTGGTTGTAGACAGAAACTTAGCCAAAATAAGTCAGATGTATGACCGGACCCAGATAATGATAGTCAAGGTTAAAACTCTGACTCATCCGCAAACCACTATATGGAGATTCAGAGTTATAGACACTGACCCAGAGGCTCACACTCAGATGTAGACCCACCAGATCAGACTCCAGGATGACATCTGGACACAGGGCTGGGCATTCAAGGTCAAGGACAGAACTGGAGACACAGGCAGCCAGGACAGAACCTGTTTACCCATCGCTAGATCAGCCCCTTGGTGCTCAAAGTCACTCATCGAGTTTCCCATAGAGGGATCTGGCTCACACGTGCGGGCAGGATGTGGACACACAGAGCCTTACACTGCCCTCCCCCCACCCATGGAGAAATTCACCACGCACAAAGACATCAACAGGGATGTCTCAAGGTCACAGGACCACGACCGCCTATACTGGGCAATGCAGATATGGCTCCTCAAGGTCACAGCCGGACACGCAGACACCCACACCAGGGCAGAATTTGCACAGCCAAGACCGAATGCCCACGCTCCGCCCACTAGGGTCAGAAACTGGGCCGAAGGCCCTGGCAAGGCAGGGGGAATACGGATGTGGGGGACAGGGGGTGGTGGACAGGGGTTTTAACAAAGAAAGGGCGAGGCCGTCCTTCGGAGAAGGGCAGAGGGTTCGGGCTGAACAGCTAGGCACTGGGGCCGAACCTGGCCAGTTTGAGCCAGAGGAGGGCGGAGGCCCCAGCTGGATGCAGCAGGCAGGCGGGAGGTGGGGAGGAGAGAGCATAGACAGAGCGCATGGGGAGGCTGGCAGGGGAGTTAGAGGAGGTCAGGGGGGGCCTCAGGGGCACCCCACTTAGCCACGTGTGTGTGGAGGGGTTAATGAGAGTCCACCCTCAACTCCCCAGGGTAGAGGCATCAGGTTACAATTAATTTCTCCACGGGTGGTGGCTGAACAGGGTCTGGAGTTCTCCTGCCACCTGGGGTCACCTTGGCTTCGTGGGTGTCCCTCTCTGAGCCACAGCTCCCTCCCCTGTCAAACGAGGCCAGTAGCCCAGTGCGTAGAGATGCTTCTGGACGAGATGAGCAAGCCTCGTGCCGAGCGCCATGCCTGGCACGTGGCCAGTGTCCGGCGAAGCTGGCACACCCTTACCTGGCACTGCCCCTGGGCCAGCCACCTTCCAGGGCCACACCGTCTGTCGTCATCTCCGTGGGACAGTTAGGGACCCGGCACAGAGACATTAAGTGACCAGGGAGTGGCGGGGCCCAGAGAAGGTCAAACAGGGTCACGCAGCAAGGAAGGCCGCCCCCCCCGCCCCGAACTCACACTTAGGCCCGTGCCACCCCAGGGCTATGTTGTCATGGACAGTGAGAGGCCCCAGGTGACACAGGGACTCCAGAGCAGCCCCAGGTCCCCGAGCGCTCTCGGGGTGGAGTGACGAGTCCAGGATGTTGGCACCTGGCCCAGGTGGGCGGGGGAGGGGGGTGGGGAGGGAAGTGTCATCAGATGGTCTCCGGGTAAGGGAGGGGCTGGCAGATTGCAGGGCCGGGATGTGCTCAGGATTGGGGGTGAGGGGGCACCCCACTTCCAC